GTATTTAAGAAAATTTTGACAAGAATCGAACCTGCATCTATATATAAAATATTAAAACTGATCCACACAAAAAATCTCAATGTATTTATTATTACAGAGCAAATAATTAGTACACAATAAAATCCAAAATTGCCTCATAGAGGGAATCGGTCTATTTCAAAAACTTCGTCCGTCTTATTCAACCCCGGTATAGAATGAGTTCGTGTTGGAATTAGAAATTTAACTGTGAAAGCTAGAAGAAAAAACAAAAAACAGAATTTAACTATTTCAAAGTTTTAGTCAGTTGAAAGTCACGAGACAGGGGTCAGGCGATGGTGGAAGGTATTAGTCTTAAATGGTAGAGGTGTTATAAAATTAAACCCAGATATTAACCATATGACATTAAATTGGGCTTATATGAAAAATGAAATGTTAATTTGAAACTAAGAGAGGAACAAAAATGGCCTTTTTTAAAATTAAATTATATAGATAAAGCAATGTTTAAGCATATAAAATCATACTAAAAAGACTCTTATGAAGATAAGTTATATTTAAAAATAATATATATTTAAATGAATCAAAAAATAAGTCATATATAGATAATTTATATTAAATTAAATAAAATTATATATATATCTCTTATCTGCCATCTATGGGCAAATAGCAGGACAGATTAGGTAACATAATCTTGGATATCAACGAGTCTGGGTGAAAGACAAACACTGAATTTAAAATCTGAAATTGGCCGCTTGGGGACCTTGTGGAACGCTGTACACCAGTTTTCTGTATTCGGCTCTTCCGAAAAGTGTGGTTGGTTCTGCACAAAGCCTTCACCAATATAATCAAATCAGCTGCTGTACATTGAAACGTTGAAAAACAACGGAAGATTCATATATATATATATATATATATATATATATATATATATATATATATATATATATATATATATATTTGAACAAATATCCAGCACACACGGCCTGAATAATGCTTTTAATCAGGAAAGGACTGTCGTTATTCGGCGTTGAACTTTGTGTCCACACTGCTTGTATTTATATACTTATATTTACATTTATATCCTGGATATTGATCAATTTTACCCATAGATATCGAACATTAAGACTATATTTTATCATAGTAGACATTTGTTCCTTGTTTCCTTGTTCCTTCTAAAGTATTCTCATTGTCATTCACTCCTGGTAACGTCTTAGTGGCATTATCGACTTGCTTGGAAGATATATATATATATATATATATATATATATATATATATATATATATATATATATAAAGAGAGAAGGAGAGAGAGAGAAAGAGAGAGAGAGAGGAGAGTTGAAGGAGCGCGGGAGATGCTGGTTAGGTAGCATAATTTCGCAACCTTTTGTACAGTAATTCAAACGGTTGAGATTGCACTTAAAGTGCTGCCTCATTCCTCGTTTCACATCGCCGAGTCGGCTGTGATATGATGCAAGTCGTTCTGATGCCCTGGAAGTGCTTATCTGTTTCGACTTTGATCAATAGATAAATAACTCCCAAAATCTGGTTGAATTTGACCAGATCAAATTGCAATGGTCTCTCAATTCGAATCTAGTTTGCGGTGAATTGGCTTCCTGTATGTGGTTCAGTTCAACTGATTTCAATTCGCCCAGATCCCATTGGTAATGGTAATAGTAACCGTTTCCCTGTGAGGAACGATTCAACATTCTTTGATCGAGAAGCCAGTAGAACTGTCGGTAAATTTATAAAGTCTTTCTCTTAAAACAATTTTTCAGGAAAATAGTTTTTTTCAAGACCAGTAACTGTAATCGCTCTTTCCAGTATTGTAGAGGTTTCTTTCTTAACAATTTTGTTTGAAATAGTGTGGAACGTTAATATCTTGATTATGTCATTTTTTTCTCTTCGTGTTACATGTGCTATCCATTTTAGTTCTTTCTACAGTCGAAAAGCCTCTGGTGATTTCTATAATCTGATATTTTTCTTTGTGATTCTGTAGCGCCTGTCCACAAGGTGCGAAGAAGGGTGATCTTCTTCAAGTCGCAGAGGCTTTATTTGCTGAAAACCATCTTAACCATTGATATGAGAAAGCGGTTGTATACAGCTGAGAGCTTAGATATGTCTGAACGGGCCTGGCGCCATGTATGATGTCTATATGAAAGTCTTGATCTGACGAATCTGTTTGAGAACATGTCTCGATTTTTCAGGTTAATATTTTGGTTTTGTAGCATTTAGCTCCCTCTAATGCATCCTATTCTATGTTCAATCCACTTATCTTCTATATTAAATTTGATCTGTAACTGATCCATACCCCGAAGTATTTGAAGCGTTTATCTTGAGTTCTATTTCTTGGAACACTTAGCAAATGATGTCGATTTTCTGTTGCTGATCATTCTTATCCCATGGATACCTGTTTCAATAGCATAGCGCCCTCCTCATCCGTACATTGGCCTCAAGAGGGAAAGCAAGATCGTTGACTTCTATTATTAGATTAGTTTAGGATTTAGTATGGAATGCTTAAATCATCAGTGCCCATCTATGCTTATAAATGCGCAAGATCTTGGAAAAGATTAAATAGTCTGAAGCACTCATTTCCTCCTCCTCTGATGTGTGGTAGACATAGCAATTATATAATTTTCTATTGGAAGGGAATTGAATTTCCTGGATTTATTTAATAATATATTAATTCATTAATCCTTTCACTATAATGGATCCAATCCTCTCTATGTGTGAAGGTCTTGAGGACCTACCTTTTTGTATCCACGGTGTATTAATGTTTGGGGGATGCATTTCTGATTTTAGAATTCTTTCATAAAATTGAGGAACGCGTTATTGAATTCAGGGAGAAAGTAAGCTATTTTCAAAAGTTCAACCTCAATGTCAATTGATGCTTTATTATTCCTTATTTTAGCTTTCGTAATTTCCACATAAGTAGGTTCATTATTTTTAGTTGTTGATAAGTTCTATGGTAGCGTAGAACTTTCCTTAGCAGTAGCAGAATTTTCAAACTCGGCCTGGTCTGTCATATATGCATGGACGATGCTTTATTTCGTTAGGCATTCTTATGAGATCAAAAAGGTTGGTTTTATATCAGAGTTTTCTTCTTCTAGATGAAATGTCTCTATCAAGGCTGTATAAAAATTAATACTGATATTAAAACAATTATTCAATGATAATTATATTCGTTAAGAGACAATCGTTTGGCTGGTTTCAGAGAATGACATTTTTTTTAATTTGAAAGATAGGCAACAGAAAACTGAGTTCCAGAATATAGTTCAACTGTAGCAGATTAAATTGCAATTATTACCCAATTTTAGAAAGTGGAATTTTCCCAGAATGCAAGATTTTTCTTATTTTTTTAACAACACCCGCTCACTTTGAGGCTGGTTGGTTGCGCATTTTTTCATTAATTTCGATCTTCATTCTGAGTTTCGTGAAATTGTTCACAATGATATATAGCACATGTACGCAGTACAATGATATACAGCACAGTGAAATTATCCACAATGATATATTAAAGCATATATTTCTCATGAGCGGTTAGGAACATGTCTGCTGTAGAAAACAATCGTTCGGTCATATATATATATATATATATATATATACGTGCATGTGTATATATGAAATATATATGTATGCATGCATTCCATAATCAAAGATATTTTATAAATAACAGCACGTGAACAATCGTTGTTTGATTTATGAACAAATAAGATATTTAAAATATTATTTTAACTGTTAGCCTCATCCTTTCACAAAAGGCATCCACTGCTTTTAAAAATTAAAAAAATATCAAGCCCGTTATGTATTTATAAATATTTGAAAATTTAAATTCGATACACATCCACTATTTGGCATTTAACCATGATTACTTTCTTTTCTCATTGAAAAAAATCTGTTGATATATTCCAAAATATTCTTACGGTTCTGAGAAAAGGGTTCAACTGAAAATAGAAAATTGCGAAAATTGGAAATTTTTAGTTTTCTGCAAGAAAAAAAAAACGAGAAAATACAATCTGAAGGGAAACGGAATTAATGTGGAGCGGAAACAAAAACCCTTTTTTTTTTTTTTTGAGAACTTTGACATGAGACAGAAATTATCAAAAAGTGAGAAAGGAAGAAGGAAAACATCAAAATAATGATCGAAAGAGGAGAAAAGATTAAAAAAACTGATGCATGGGAATGAGAAAAAGGAATGAGTATATGTTAAAGAGAAAGAAAACACAATGAGAAGGGATATTCTTATAGTGAGAGTGAAGGAAATGTGGGAAAAAGTTTGAGAGAAAGAGTAATGTAGTGAGTAAAGGTGGGAGATATTTTCATAGTGAGAATGTGGGAAATAGCTTGAGACAGAGAGTAATGCAGTGAGTAAAGGTGGGAGATAGTCTTATAGTGAGAATGTGGGACATAGTTTGAGGGAGAGAGTAATGTGATGAGTATAGGTGGGAGAGAAATTTTGTATTGAATAAATATTCAAAGAAGACAAATGAAAATAAAAATAAGTTTTTTTCAAATTGACGAAGTATATGAAGTTGTAAAGAGAGATACGGGAAGAAAGCAGAATGATAAAGCGAGTGAGAGAAAAAAAAAAGGAAGACGAGAAATGCAGAAAAGAGAATAACAAATAAAAAATGAGCAAAGAGACCTGAAAAGAGAGAGAAGTTGCGAGATCGAAAGAAGGGTCGTTGTATAAGTGTACGGGTAGAGAAAGGGAAATATAGGAGGAAGAGAAGCTTGTCCGTGTTTATGTTCAATTAAGACTGAAAGACAAGACATCAATTATCGTGGCCTGTTTAGTGACGATGAAAAGTCATTGTTCAAAGTATCAAATAGTCTTCGTACTCTATTTGCTTTAGTATGATCCTTGTACTAAACGAATATTAACCACATTAAACGTATTAATGAACTAAATGATAAGATGGAAAAAAGAAAGACATCTTGAGAGAGGGTGGGTAATAGTGAGTGATCAGTGGATCGGTCAAAACTAAGAGAAAAAATGAGTGAGAGGAGATAATCGAATAAGGATATCATGATAACTGGAGGATCAAGGAAGAGAAACGAAAGAAGAGGAATGATAAAGAGAAATAAAGACTCAAAAGAGATAAAGAAGAAGAAATGGTTGAACAGGCAATAAAAAAGAAAGAAATATAGGCAGTTAGTGAGAAATAGGTAAATCGGAAGGTAGAAAGAATGAAGAAATAGACGAAGTCAGAAATAGAAAAAAAGAAAAGATTTTTAAAAGCAACGGACAAAATGATGACAAACGTGTAAATGGCACCAGAAAAATGCATAAAAGATGAGAGACAAAAAGGAATGATGGAATCTTTCAGGAAATGAAGTCTGATTAGAAAAACAAAAAAAAAATGAGAACCAGTTCTTAAGGCTTGCGAATGGTTTGAGCAATGGAGACAAGGAAAAAAACGTAACTGAATGGAGGATTGGCGTAGCGTGAATTGAGATGTGTCGGAAGAAAATAGTAGTGAAGATTGCAAAATTTTGATGCTGAAAGGCTGAGAGATGAGAGGGTTGGAAGTGGACGAAAAGAAAAAAAAATATTTCTGAAGAAACGGTGAGTGAATTAAAATGAAAAGAATTTGATATGCGTTTTAAGAAAAGCGTCCACATTTGCAGAAAGTGTTAAATTTGGGGATGGAATGGTTTGTGGAAGAATGAATGTAATAATGTAAAAGGTTCCCACTGAAGCAAGTGAAAGTTTTGAGAAAATATAAAGAAAAAGATACAATGAAGGAAGTGGGAATAATGATTGATGTGAAGAAGCGTAGGGCTATGCATGACAAAGAAAAAAGAGTTTTAGGTGAAGAAGAAATGAAGAATCCACAAATTATAAAGATGATTCTAGAAAAAACAAGATATAATGGTAGAAAGTAGTGAAATTACATAAGGAAAAGGGGGGAAAATTAATTTCCCTGTGGAAAGAGAGGACGAAATTAAGAATTATTTGGATAAGAAGAAAATTAAATCGAAAAAAAACAAAGAAATGGAAAAAAAGACGAGGAAGAAAAAATTCAAAAAGGGGATGGAAAAATATGAAATGAAATAATGAAAAATTTGAAAGCCTATTTGGAAGAAATATGACAAATGAAAAAATTCAAGTATCAATGAAAAATACTGCATTCGTATTAAGAAAGAGAATATGAAAGAGAATATGAAGGAGAATATGAAGAATGGAAGACACAACAAAGGAGAGAAAAATGAGATGGAGTAGAATAGTTGGAAAACAGTTGGAATAGCTGAAATATGGAAATGAAAATGCGTTTTCGGATAAATGGAAAAATGCGGCGGAAAAAAGAGCCTGGTTAATGGCTAAGATTCAGGTTCTTAAGATTCAAAAAAGAAATCCAGGTGAAAGAAAAATCAACAGAAAAATGAAAAGTAATGAAAGAAAAATCCACAAGCGTTAGCAGTTTGGTGGCTGAGATAGTGATATTTACTTCACGCACTAGTATTTGGCTCGGCAGGTAAATAATGTTGAATGATGGCACAGTCATTTATTTGATGTTGAGTTCGACAACGGAGGTGGAAAAAAGTGTAAATTGAATGAGAGAGAAAAGGAAATGGCTAAACATGAAAAAAGAAGTGATAAAAAGAAAGAGGAGGAGAAAAGAAAAACTGATATGGATATATGGAAAAGAATCTAACAAAGTGGAAAGGAAAAGAAAGAGAAAACCGAGAGTGAGAATGAAAAAATAAATGAAAGAAGCAGTAAAAAAAAAAGAAAGCGGGTAGAAGAAAAAAGAAAAAGAAAAGGAGAATGAAGAAACAGAGAAGACTAGGGATTATTAGAAAAGAAAAGAAAATTGATATTTACTAAGCTTTTAGCAAAATAGAATGAGGTCACCTAGTGTGGATCAATTCATTGACTAATAATGTTCTTTGAGACTAGTTAGTAAATGCAAGCCGAATTTAGTCTAGAAATAGGCGACAATAATGGTACAGAGGATCGAACTTACAACAATTACAATAATCTACGACAGGCGCCCAATGTATAAAGGTATTAATTAAGGCTAGTGTAATATCGCATAGGATCGCAATATTGAGGTTGTACCAAAGTTTCTATGATTTTAACCATTGCACTCTGACAGGTGTTTCAATAAGTAAAAGCAAGAAAGGTGAAGATTGAGGTTACAAAAAGAAGAATAGAGGAAAGCTGGAATAGAATCTAAAAAGAAACAAAAAATTGAAACGAAGAAAAAAAAAACCTATTTGAGAATGAATAAGAAACAACTGACAATGAAAATTTTAAAATTATATATATATATATATATATATGTGTGTGTGTGTGTGCTGAAGTGCTTAGTAAGGCGGGAAAAAAGAAAATTTTCCAGAAACCTTTGGAGATTCGGAATGCATAAAAAGATTTCATGTCAAGTCAGAAAGGAAAATTTTGATTTTTTTTTTCTTTCAGAAATGGTTGGAAGTGATTCTGATAAGTGAGAAAAGCCGCAATAAGAGAACACAAAAATTGAGACTGGTGTAAGTGACAAAATAAAAATGCATTCGCTTATATATATATATATATATATATATATATATATATATATATATATATATATATATATATATATATATATATATATATATAACTACTCTCATCATGATTCATTTTCGTTTAGATTTTTATTTTGAGTGAAGACTTTGATGCTTAGAGGAAGGTTCTTAAAAAACAGGCACGCTCAAATTCATACACGTACATAAATAAAAATATTCATCTCTACTTATTTATTTTTGTAAAGGTAGTTCTAAAAAGGACGTGATAGATAGATAGATAGATAGATAGATAGATAGATAGATAGATAGATAGATAGATAGATAGATAGATCATTTTTGCATAGGAGTACAGATACAATTAGGGTCATATCGATTCAGAACCATATCCATAAAAAAAAACACACACACACACACACACACACACACACACACACATATATATATATATATATATATATATATATATATATATATATATATATATATATATATATATAATCGAAATCAGTCGTTTTAGCTGGCTAAGAACCAAAAATCAACTGCGAAAAGCGTCAGCTAATATTCTTGTGACTATGTCCCGAGATCCTCGCTATTGCATACAGGTAACTAGCGAGCTGAAATGCCACATACGACACAAATATCTGAATGAAGTTGTCGGATCCTTATACGTCGAAATCGACGGTAGATTCCACCATATATATTTGGATATGGATCATTAAATTCGTGGCCTGTTAATTATTATCAGATTTTTCAAATTTTAAATTTTCCATATGTAATAAATGGAAAATCACTGCGCATTGACAATGAAAGCGAATATGTTGAGGAATAAATATTTAAATTAAATTTATCCGGTCATCATTAGCCTGAGGGCCACTGACAAAGTGCATTTGGGTTGTCTAACTTCACAGAAAATAATTTACACCTGTGAGAAATATGTACACGAGTTTTAGTGAACAAATTGGTTGGGGTGCTCTCACTTAAATGTCTCCCCATTACAAAACACTTTGGGACTGTTTGGTCTACAAACTTGTTCTCCTTCATGCATATATTATTTCCTATGATATCAATAAAAACATTCCTATGGCATCAATAAAAACATTCTTTACGAACAAGTAGACTCTATCCGAATAGTTGCTTATTAACCTTCGTTTATCACAAAATGAATCTAGAACTTAGGATAGAAAGATTTTGTTGCAACAAGTAGGAAACTTTCGTCTAATTTGAAATAAACATAAGTCTTGGATCGAGCGCGGACAATAGGCCACGAGATGAAATATGCAGATATCTGTTCCTACAGCATATCATAGTATCAGAGGAAACAATGTGCGTTCCTGAACAATTTTAACCCTTCTGCCTGAGCTCCTGACTCAAAATTCGCAAATACATGGTATGTCATGTGTCACGATAGATATAAAAACAGTTTCAAGTGTTTACCGATTGTTCATTTTCTACATGTGGATGAGGTTATTATGTTTGTATTTTCTACCAGCATATTTGTGTGTGTGTGTGTGTGTGTGTGTGTGTGTAAAAATGGGTTCTAATGGAGTTGTGGTCGGATAGGTGTAAGGTTAGGCATCTGGATAGGCATATTGTTGTGAGACCGATATGAATTCGGTTTGATCAGAAACACAGTTCCTTAAGGGGAATTTGAACTCATAAATAATGTTCGTTCGTTGTAATTTTGATTTTGCTGGAGTGCTGTTATTTTTTAGGATAAGGTTAGCTGTTTTAAATTTTTTTTAGTAAATAATAAATTTGATTTTCTTGTTCAGGTCAGTTAGGGTAATGTATTTCTTAAAGGTTATTTCTAAGTGAAGATTCATCTTGTTCGTAGTTGACATCCATTTGGCATTTGTAGAAAATATTTATGTTATGTTTGTGTGTTCATTATCTCTATCATTTTAGAAAGAAATAGTCTAATTTGGTGGTCTATAAATTGGTTAGGGAAGCCATTGTTAACTTGTGTCTGTTTTGCATTGTCCTTTAAGGAAATTAGACAAGAGGATGAATTCTCGTGTGCTCTTTTTAGGAAGATTTTTATCACTGCTATTTTGTATCTGAGTGAGTATTCACTCTTAATGTTAGGGGAGCAAGAGTTTCTACTAGTGGGTTTTTATACAATGATGTAGTAAATGTGTTGTTACTGTATTCTACCAGAACGTTTAAGAATGGGAGTTTAATTTTGACTGCACTAGGTGGGGTAATTTGATTAAAAGTATGATGATATTCGGTCAAAGTAATATTTTGAAAGATAATCTTTCCCACATTAGAATTAATTTAATTGTAATATACGGAAAAATATTCGTGAATATGAAAGGATTATGTTAAAAATAAGCAGACATAATGTTTGTAATTCTTTCAATCAGACATGCCTAAATAGAATTTTCTGCCTAAACACACACACACACACATATATATATATATATATATATATATATATATATATATATATATAACCGAATGGGTAAATATAGGTAGACATGCGAGCGAACGATCGTATACAAATACATATAAATGTTCTATAGTGTAAGAAAGAACAGTGCTCAATGTTAAGCAACAGAACTATTTAATATATATATTAAAAAATATACATAATATAATACATTGATTGCACAACTCTGAGTTTAATACCGAAGCAATTTTTAAGTGCTGAAATTATTATATTTATTTTTATTTATATTTTGTGTTGACACCGTTTATTTTTTAATTTTCTGGTTCTCGTGAGATATATTATTGTTGGGGTGGAATATTATTGGAGTTAAAATATTTAAATGAATTTTAGTTTAATTTTGAATTTGAATTTAAGCTCAGATTAACATTTAAGATTGAAAATAAGGTTGGAAATAAGAAGCATAAATTCTAAATTAGTTTTAAATGGTTTTGAAAACGTAAGTAAACAAAAAGGGGGCGTTGGATAATCGAGGAAGGGGAAATTTTAGTTTTTTCCAAAAATCAAGAGCGTAATTGATAATAATATTATTAAACTAAGTAAAATTAATGATCATCTTTGCCCACCCTTATAATTCCAGCACTTGAAAATTACTTCGGCATGAAACTCGGAATTGTTCAATTAATGTAACGTATTATGTAATTCTTTAATATACACATACACAAACACACACACACATACATACATATATACATACATACATACATGCATATCCTTTCATATGTATGTGAACGTGTGTACTGACATTTCATATATAGATACTGAAATTCGTCAATAAAATAAACAGAAATATATGCAAGATTCCACCTGCATGTTGAATTGTGTAAATGCTTATTTTCCCGAGGCTTTGTGGGGCGGGTTACAAATATACAAGGTGCGATTTTATAATTTTAATTTCGCGCATGCGCGTGGTTTGTTTGTTTTTGTTTTTTTTTTAATTATTTTGTTGACTGCACAGTATAGTAGGATCAGTTGGGCACCGTCTGCGAGAAAAAGAGTGCCATGACGCAATTCACTCCGCCAGGAAATTGGAAACAGCATGCTGTATTGCTTGGCATTCACGGTGGAAGCTCAAATACGAACATTTCAGAGTGTTTGGGTGTCAATCTGAGGACAGTGCAGAAAGCGTTGATTGAGTCTAACGACCACATCACCCCTTACATCTGGCCACCTTACTTCCCAGACTTCAACCCCCTTAATATGTGCAGGGCACAATTGAGCGAAAGACCAACAAAACTCTTTATAACACCAAAAATGAACTGAAGGCAAGGATTATGGCAGCATTCCCCAACTTAAACAAGGAGACCGTCCAGGAGAGATTTCGAAATCGTCTGGAGGCCGTGGTTGGAGCCAGTGGCGATTTTATTGAATAAATTTACTCTTTAATATTTGAAGATATTTTTGTGTAACTTTGGTAAATATATCTGTTAAAATAAGATGTCAGTCTGATTTTCATTTTTGCGTAATTTAGACGAGAATTTATCCATCGCACACTGTGTATTATTATACACATTGTCCCCACTCCCAATTTTTCTAGAAAATTCTAAAGTTGCATAAACATATTCACACACACACACACACACACACACACACACACACACACACACACACACACACACAATATTTGCCTGCGTAAGTGACATCGTGATCCCACCCAGTCTCGTCCCTTATTAATCTATGTCTGTCTTTCTTTAACAATTGCAAAATGCATAAATACGAAAGGATGCTGAAAAGACAAAAAATATACTCATATTTCTATTGACCTCATGGAATATATTTCATATGATATCTAAAATCTAAACGCACTTAGAAAAATGTTTCAGGTATCCAATTATATTTTATGAGTAAGGGATGATCATTTCTTTTCCAGAACACTATTCTGATGTTTGATCATTAAAACACTGATTTGGCAAATGGTTCGGATCGAGAACTTTTCAGTACTCCACATTGAAATCTGTCAAATGCTTCTTCCCTCTGCATCAAATGTCTATAAAGGAAACATAAGCACAGATATTTTCTCATGTTTAAATTATAAATTGATAAGGATAATAAATACGGATAATAAATACTTATGACATACATATGCTTACATCTTATACATTAACACATATGTCCAAGAGATAGATTCCTGTATATATAATATACATATGCATATACATATATAGAGAGATATGCATACATACACACACATGTATAAATATTTATCCAAAGGGAAAGAATCATATTTTGCAGCGATACAATTAATATTTTAGTAAAATGTGTGTAATTTTGCCCACATACTTTGTCATTTAACGTCTACACACAAACACTCATAATACACTAGCTATGTATGAATAATGAGAAAAGGTGTACATATATAGTAATGTATTGTAAATGTGTGTAGAAACGGACGCTGAATACTGCGTAATATGAACAATTGTATATCTGCGATTTTAATACGCTCAAATATACGAACTGAAACATATACTCGCATGTATTTGATAATAAAATGTGTTAATGTTCATATATGTATATACCTAGCTGTACACGTGATAGCGCCATACACAGGAATCTGAGCTGATACACATTATCAATAATCTTCAGCACGCATTGTCGTCCCTCTGTGTTGAAAACATTAACACACAGCTCTAACATTGGGAAGGGATGGTTGGGGTTTGTTTTGACGTCGGTTGCTGGTGATATCCAAAACGAAATTAAAAAGTGCAAATGAAAAATAGCGCAAATAACAAAAGCAAAATCAACTGTTGGCGAATATTAATGCTCAGAAAAAGAAAAATATCGGGGAGAGCAGGTCGAAGCGGAGAGTAAGATGCGAGGGAAGAGCGGTTCGGTTTAGCAAAGCAGAGACAGTGTTCTTGTGCACTGTCAGCGAGAGCGCCTTCCTTACTTTCTTTTTTTCGCTCCGCTTCTTCCTCTTTC